CTACAGTGAACACCCAGAAGGGGCAGAGGGAGTGAGTGGGGATGCAGAAGGGGATGAGCTCAGGGGCTTGGAGAGAGAGCCTAAGAAAAAGAGACCTACACCAAAGAACTCGGCAGCAGCTGCGGCGCAGCGCTGCCCATCCCAATGAGTGTTATTAGTTGGAACTGCCGGGGGCTTGGGAACCCCGAGGCAGTTCGGGAGCTTCGCAGCGTCGTGAAGCAAGAAGGGACTACCTTACTCTTTGTCATGGAAACAAAGATAAGGGCAGCAAGGGTGGAGAACCTGAAGTTCACTTTGGGTTTTGAGGGTTGTTTTGCAGTAAACAGTGTTGGTTTAAGCGGAGGCATCGGTTTGTTTTGGTCAAGAGATGTCTCAGTTGAACTTAAAAACTTTAGTTCCGGCCACATCGATGCAGTGGTGCGGAAGAAAGATCAAAACTCTTTTGAGTGGAGATTTACAGGGTTCTATGGCGCTCCAAGAGTCGAAGACAGGAAGCACAGTTGGCGGTTCCTTCGAACTTTGCACGCCATTCCTCACAATGCATGGTTATGCATTGGTGATTTCAATGAAACGCTCTATGGAGAAGAGCATTATAGTCGTTCACCTCGTCCAGAGGGGCAGATGAGGGCGTTTCGGGAAGCTATTGATGAGTGTGAGCTCCAAGACCTTGGTTGGACTGGGGTTCCTTTTACTTGGGACAACCGTAAGGCGGGTGGAGCCAATGTAAAAGCGCGAATTGATCGGGCCTTCGCAAACGAGGCATTCAGGCAACAGTTCGGGCATATTGCAGTTCGTCACATCAGCGCAGTCGAGTCAGATCATTGCTTTGTGCGCATGGAATATAGGGAGCAGCGCGGTGACGCAATGTGTAGGGGTGAACGACCCTTCCGGTATGAAAACGTGTGGCAGACACATTTGGACTATGAGAGCGTGGTGGCTGAATGCTGGGTAGACCAGCAACGCACACCTAACCTGCAAGGAGTGTTGAACTCTCTGAGTGCCATGCAGCAGAAACTTGAACCTTGGGGAAAGAAAGAATTCGGATGCCTCGCGAGGACAGTCCGGAAACTACAGCAAAAGCTGGATAAATTGCGGAGGCAGTCAGTTGGACGATGTCCTTCGGAGGAGGAGAAAAGCACGATGGCCAAATTACGGGAAGCTCTTCGCCAGGAGGAAATCTGGCTTCGTCAACGCTCGCGTGTGCTATGGCTACGCGACGGGGATCGCAACTCGGGCTACTTTCAAGCGCAAGCGAAACAGAGACAGAGAATCAACATGATATCTGGGCTGCGAAGGCCGGATGGAACGGTTTGTGCTAATGCAGAGGAGGATCAGGTGGAGATTTTGAACTTCTACCAGAATTTGTATGCATCGCAGGGGCCTTCGGACGCCAGCGAGATGCTATCACATGTCCCTGAGCGTGTCACACCCGCCATGAACGATGCACTAAATAAACCCTTCGAACCAGGCGAAGTGCGCACGGCTCTTTTTCAGATGTTTCCATCGAAAGCACCAGGGGTCGATGGATTTACGGCAGGTCTCTTTCAAAAACACTGGAAACTTCTTGGTGAAGATGTAACAGTTGCAGTTCTGGATTTTTTGAACGGAGGAGAACTACCGTTGGGCATGAACGACACGTCAATCACACTAATTCCCAAGGTACGGAATCCGCAGTCAATTTCTCAGTATCGTCCAATCTCGTTCTGCCCTGTCCTATACAAACTAGCGGTGAAGGTTATCACCAACAGACTTCGAGAATTCATGGATGAGATTGTTAGTGAAGAACAAAGTGCATTCATCCCCGGGCGACTGATCACAGATAACGTCCTTGTGGCGTTTGAGAGCATTCACACAATGCGACGGAGGAAGAAGGGGAAGAACTATGCATGCGCTGTCAAACTTGATATGATGAAAGCGTATGATCGTGTTGAATGGAGCTACTTGGAAGCTATCTTGCTCAAGTTTGGATTCGCGGCAAATTTTGTAAGTCTGATCATGAAGTGTGTGACTTCCGTTCGGTTCTCAGTTCGGGTGAATGGGAAGCTATTACCTTATTTTGATCCATCCAGGGGCCTGCGCCAAGGCTGCCCCATGTCACCCTTCCTTTTTCTTTTATGTGCAGAAGGTTTCTCTTGTCTTCTAAAACATTATGGTGTTGTCGACAGAGGCATAAGAGCGAATCTTCGGGCACCTTGGGTAAATCATCTGCTCTTTGCAGATGACAACCTCATTTTCATGAAGGCCGACTCCAGGAGTGCGGCAAGATTGAACAGTATATTGCGCATCTATGGCGCGGCTTCGGGGCAAAGAGTAAACAGAGAAAAGAGTGCAATTTTCTTCAGTCCGAACACAACACATGGATGCAGGCAAACTATCAAAAACATACTGGATGTTCATGTCGAGGCATTCAGTGAGAGATATTTGGGGCTCCCCACCGCAGTGGGTAAAATCACCAGCGGCACCTTCGATCACATAGGGGAAAGATCCAGAAGTAAAATGCAAGGCTGGTCAGAAAGACTCTTTGCTTGTGCTGGGCGGGAAACGTTGCTAAAATCAATCATCCAGGCTATCCCAAATTTCAGCATGAGTGTCTTCCTGTTAACCAAAAAGGTATGCAAGAGCTTGAGGTCTTGTATGGCCAAGTATTGGTGGAGTAGTTCAATCGATAAGAGGTCTATGCACTGGATTTCTTGGAAGGAACTGACAACACCAAAGTGTAAGGGTGGCATGGGATTTCGAGATCTCCACCTTTTCAACATAGCACTACTGGGTAAACAAGGCTGGCACTTGATCACGAATCCTAATACCCTATGTGCAAGAGTACTCAAGGGCAGGTACTTCCCCGACACAGACTTCATGCACGCTACAACTCCAAGTTCTTCCTCCGCCACCTGGAGGGCCATCATAGCGGGCAGGGAGGCTTTGATCACGGGGCTCATCAAACGCGTGGGAGATGGCACGACAATCTCTATATGGGATGACCGGTGGATACCATCAACACACACTATGACTCCACTGTTTCGTCCACCCGCAGCAAACGTCACATTGGTAAGCGACCTCATTGACACGGACAATTGGACTTGGCAGCGGGATCTTATCCGTGAAAACTTCATCACTCCGGACGCAGAAGCAATCTTGAATATACCACTACGTGCTGGAGGAGGGGATGATTTCTTGGCTTGGGCACATGAAATATCAGGCAACTACACCGTTAAGTCGGCGTACCGCGCTCTAGTGACTCGTAACGAGCTTCAGGCTCTAGAGGAAGGGCAGGCTACCGGATCTTCAACAGATAAACAACGGATGTGGAATGATCTCTGGAAATTGAATGTGTTGCCCAAGGTGCGTGTGTGTTTTTGGCGAGTGCTTCGAGGCATTTTACCAGATGAAAGCACACTCATGCACCGGCACATCAGACAACAAAATCTATGCAAGATATGTCTGGCTTCTCAGAAGAACCTATTGCATGCACTATTGGAGTGCTCACATGCGGGACAATTTTGGGAAGAAGCGCAGCAGCTCTTCGACTTCAAGTTACCGCGGCTACACCCTGTGACCTGGGCAGAAGACATCATTTGTGATGATCGCTTTACTTCCAGGGACCGAGCAGTGATCGTTTCGGTCATGTGGTCCATTTGGCACTCGAGGAACAGATTGACACACGGTGAGGATAAGCTCGATCCGGCAAGCTCTGTACGACGCACTCGGGAGGCGTTATCTCTTCTTGAGGTGCCGCGGCAGCTAGCACTGACCATGCCCGGGCATGGGTGGCGGCCGCCCGAAGAGGGTTTCGTCACCATCAACACTGATGCGGCAATCAAGCGAGAAGATGGCAAAGGAGGAGCAGGGGGTGTTGCCCGATCCTCTAGCTCATTTCTGGGTGCATGGAGTAAGCCATACCCCGGAGTTACGGATCCCTTCATTGCAGAGGCGATGGCAGTGCGCGACGGAGTTATCTTCGCATGTCTGAGGGTTTTTTCACGCGTCATTGTGGAGACGGACTGCTCGGAGGTCGCCAACCTCTGGAACAATCGCCACGACTCTCGATCGGTCGTGGCACCCATTTTGTTAGAAATTGGAGAGCTCTCTGGTAGTTTCACTTTTTTTGATATTCGCCATATTGTAAGATCGGCTAATGGTCCTGCTCATATTTGTGCCAAGCAAGCTTGCACAATTGACGTGACCGAAAGCTGGATCGAAAGTACTCCTAGCTTCCTGATCAGTAGCCTATTGGCTGACTGCCCAGCGAACGCTTTCAAGTAATAAAGCTCTCAATATTTCCCCCGCAAAAAGAAAAAGAAAAAAAGATCTCTCTAGACAAAACACATTCATCCTGAAATGCATCCCACCACCACCGATCTACAAAACGGTTTACCCAACGACTAACCTAGTATCAAGATATTGGTAGTTGACCCTTAAAAAAATACATCTTCTCAAGAAAAGGAAAAGAAAAGTCATTGGTAGTTGAAATCAAGGAACCGACGCGCACTTCTCCACCGTGGCTACATGAGAAAGAGTGGCCGACACAGCTTTATACACATAAACAAGTACACGTCTTCTTAAATAAAATGAAAAGAATAACAGCAGGCACATGTGAAGAATGATTGACAAATCTGCACCTTCATGTAGACATTATGTAAAGATCCAGAGGTGAGCACTGTGGTATTGCAGATGTATAACGAATCATTCTGAAGAACTGCGTACCGGAGAACTCATCTGGCGATGTTTGGTAATTAACTGTATGATTCATTCATTTCCAAATCATGCTCTCAGTTACACTTACCAGCCCACAAAAGGCACACTAACATTGGAACCGAATTACATTAGTAATTTAGCATATATGATTAGCTATCTCGGCCTCCTCAGTAACACCACAAGGACTCCGACAATGAAGACTAAAGTCGTCTATCTGGTGCTACCAGAGTAGCTGTAACTTTTAAGCGTCGAATCCAGGGAAACAGGCGGTGTCAAATTTGAGTGGCATCATCTAACTCATTTGATCAGACTACTGATAGAAGCGATCGTCTCGACCGCTGCCCCGATGTTGAATCCCCCAATTGCGCTGCAGTGCCAAAGTACTGGTTCATAAGTCTACTGTTCAGAGATCCATATTTCTTTGGTGTGTGCCTGATCAACGCAGTGGCATTGGGTGATGGTTCGTCTTTGTCCAGATGGACTGCTTCGATCTTGTCGATCAACGACGACGAAGACCAGGAGGCCGAAACCGAAGGAGATTCAGGCAGTGTGTGGTCAGCTGCAGACCTCATCTTCATTGATGGGCTTGCCAAGGTTCGCTTGTTGCCGAACAGGGAGCTCACCTTGGAGTACCTCTGCCTCAGCGGTGTCGGGGTGGTCTCCACATGGCTCCAGCTCTTGACAGAATCCACCGAGGAGGCATCGTCATCCGATTCCTTGGGGCTGCCGACTGATTTCTTCCCCTTGCGAAGCGGCCATCTGAGCAGGACCTTGAGGTGTCTTGCCGCGCTCTGCATGGAATTCAGCCTCTTAAGACCAGGTCCCAGGGTTCCAAGTTCGGCACTCTTGCCAACACTAGAGAATGAGGTCGTTCTCGTTCTCGTTCTTTCACTGACGCCTGACGCATCAATACCCGCATGGAGGAAAATCTCAGCATCCGAGATCCTGAAAGAAGTCCCCGGGCTGCCCACAATGTGGTGCATCTTCAGCTGAGAAGCAATGGCGGACCTCGTCTCGTGATCCCTCGAGTTCGAGATACCGCCGGCCAGAATCAGCTCCTTGATGAGTATCTCGGATGATGCTGTCTGCGGCTGCTTCCTCAGTAAATCCAGTGGAGTCATGCCGTTGTTGTCACGGACGTTCAGGTCGATCGACGGCACGGTCATCAGGAGCTCAACGAGGCTGGAGTGCAGATTACCAACCACTGCCAGGTGAAGAACGGTCCTTCCATCGTCGTTTTGCACGTTGATGACATCGCTGACATCCATGATTGATCCAGCGACCAGATGCTTCGTGAGCTCCATCTGACGATCAAGCCTTCGGAAGCCAAGAGTTCTGAAGCCAGTCAGTGCCATATGGAGGAACGTGTCACCAACTTCATTTCTAGCTGATACAAGTGATGGTGATGCAGTCATCAGGGCTTCGACCACCGGTAAGTGACCTCGGAATGCTGCTATATGCAACGCTGTATTCCCTTGGTCATCTACAGAGTTGACGATATCGAAGGCCACAATCAGATACTTCACCACCTGCAGTAAGAATGTGTTAGTACTGCACCCGGCAGTTGCTGCAAAATCATTAATAGCTTCAATGACAAATGAACCTGATGCTGCAGCAAAAGAAATGATGAAATACTAGCTTCCCACTGTGAGACACCATATGATTTAGAATGATAATCAATTTTTGGTGAACAATATAATAGTAGTACTAGTACGAACAAAATATAGAATAGCACTGAATAATTCCTGCAAGCGTGAGAACTTACTCAACTTAGTTGTTAAGCACTTTTGTAGATGCAGGCAATATCATGAGCTGACTGTCCCCCAAGCAAACAGAGCACCATTACAATAATTAAAGCATGCCAAAAGACTTATCACCAACAAATTATAGTATTATATTTCTATGCACAAGCAGAATCACAACCTGGCTGGCATGTTGAATGTCCACAAGATCAACTTATAGCAACAATCATGTCACAGAACGTGCGCTATTATTCTCAGGTTTAATTACTGTAATGGTGACTAATCTCATTAGATTTAGCTCTGTTCATCGCCACTTGGAGTAAAATCTCAATCGATTTAATGCGTTTTAATTCGATTAATACATATAGCTAAGGACAACACATCAATTAGTCCAAAAAGAATCATGAAACTGAAACTGAGGCACTCAGGTATCAAGATTCAGAAGCAGAAGTAGTATCACCTCAACTTGGCCCCTTGCAGCCGCAGCGTGCAAGATGGTGGCGCCCTGCGCGTCCTGGTACGCAGCGGCATCGGAGCAACCCTGCAGGAGCTCCCTGAGGATCTCCAGGTCGCCGCCCCTCGCCGCGGCGTGCATTGCCCGGTTCATCATCTCGCGCCTGAACATGTATCCCCCACGAGTGGCAGCAGAAGGAGCACCTCCCCCAGCTCCGTCTTCTCCGGCCGATGACAGCACGGCGTTGAGCAGCATCCGGAACACCTCCGGGTGCCTGCTCCTGGCGGCGGCGTAGAGGACGTCGGTCACGCCGTACTCCCCCTCGCCGAACACCAGCAAGGGCTGCCTCCCGAGGAGCTCCCGCACGAAGCCCGCGTCCCCGGCCGCGGCCGCCGTGTAGAGCAGCCAGCCGCCGTAGCCGGCCCGGATGAGGCGGTTCCCCCCAGGCCGAGCGCGGGACTCGCAGTCGAGGAGCAGGCAGCGGGCGACGGAGGCGCGGTTGGTGGCGGCGTCGGCGAAGCGCATGTCGTCGTCCCAGACGGACTCGAGGCGGCGGATGCGGCGGAGGGAGGTGAGCTTGATGAGGAGGTTGGCGTCCAGGTGGAGCAGCTCCCTGACGACGTCGTAGTGGCCGCTCGCGGCCGCCCAGTCGATCGGCGTGGCGTACCACCACTGGTCGCCCGTGCTCTCCCACCGGAGCGGGCAGTGGGATTCCTCCTCCATGGGCCGCTACCGGTTAATCCACCTGCAGAAACGACGAAGTTGAGCTAACCCACCCCCACCCATTTGCCATGAACAAATCGAGAGAAACTACTGCGAATTTGGGGCAATAAGTAACCATTTTTATGATCGAACATCAAAGCAACTGGGCCGTTGCGGCAGCTTCAAAGAATTATACTCCGTGTGCGAGCAATTATGGAAGGGGTTATCAGGAATGGGAACTGCCCATGCTGGGCGGCGCGTTGCGGGCAGGTTGAAGCATTAATTTAACTCAACAGTAAGCTACAATACCTCAGAGATACGGGCATGGAAATCGTAGCCCATGGCCATGGGAGCAACTGCAAGAGAGAGGCAGAGGCTCCATCTCTGGGACCTATCTCCTCGTGCTTGTCTCGAGTGGCCAGCTCAGCCCGCCGGAACCCACAAGGCCACAACCACAAGAGAGAGGCAGGCCGTCAAGAGGAAATGGAACGAGAGGGGCCATGTGAGCTCTGGAGACCTTTTCAAGCGCAGAATTCAGAGAAGGGCACGCAAGACAAAGTCTGGAGAATGGGACCAGGTCCATTCCATTCCATCCCTCCCTCCCTCCCTCCCTCCCTCCAAAAAGAAAAATGGATTTACGGCAAGAACCAAGAATGCAGGCACAAGTTTTGCTTGCAACAAAAGGTTAACTAATTGATCTGCGTGAGAAAACTAGTAGCAAGAAACAAGCGAGTTTGGGCTTACCTACTGTTGCCGCTGCCTTAGAGTTTTCTATCCTGTGAAGCTCCGTCAAACCAGCTTGGGCGGCCGTTTAACCTCAGTTTCTGTTCACAACAATAAAATATCAAGTTCTTCTTTGGAACTTACTTATTCTACAGCCAGGAATGCCTTAGCCGGTTTCCAGAAGTGTGCGGGCGTTCTGGTTCACGCGGAAGAGGATTTGTCCAGATACAAGAGAAGGATGCCTGCTGGCCACCCGAAAGGTAGGAGGCAGGCTAAAGAGGATAATGATTTGGACCTGCAATTCGAAGGCAAATCTCGTTCCGGCTGCCAAACCTAGAAAAAGTCGGGTGATAGCTGCCAAGCTAGAAAAAGACATTGTTGCGATATGTTTTCTTCAACGGTTGAAAAGGGTTATTTATCCCTTTTAGCATAATTAATTGTGTTTTTAGGAGACACGATCTTACACTTAGCACGTTTTCTATGGTGCTTCCAGTGACCTCCTTTTTAGACATCAAAGAACTCTCTATTGCATGATGATCATCATGTTATGTTTTGAGAGAGTATGAACGATCTCTATAGGTCAATGTTTCATTCACCCCGCACTTATCTTGCTTCTAGCTAGTTTGGCTAAATCACAATTAGTCTCTCTAGAAGTATGCTAAAAAATAATATAAAAATCACTGCAAGGTGATATATATATCATAAAAACCTGTCGCCGATATACCGAAAGAACGACCTCAATTCTTATAACACCCCGAGAATCATGCTACAGTAATCTCTGCCTAACGGTGGCCATGTCATCGTGATTACTATGCAGTTTGCCACTTGTCCAAAAAATCAAAGCCTTTTTCAAATTTAAAATAAGTGGAATAAATTATTTCTTCGAGCGGTAAAACTAAAAGGTTCGCCTTATCCTATAAATTTCCCTGATCACTATCATGTTGAAACCAACCTATTATGAATTCCCAAAATGCCCATGGAAATTAATTTAGTGGTCCAGCAGCATTTGGATTGGCATTTTTAATTTCTAAAATTGATTAGACGAGTCCTTTTGACCCCAAACTTTGTGTTCCATCTCAAGGTATTGTGTTAGATTTATGTGAAGGAAATATGCCCTAGAGGCAATAATAAAGTTATTATTTATTTTCTCATATCATGATAAATGTTTATTATTCATGCTAGAATTGTATTAACCGGAAACATAATACATGTGTGAATACATAGACAAACATAGTGTCACTAGTATGCCTCTACTTGACTAGCTCGTTTATCAAAGATGGTTATGTTTCCTAGCCATGGACAAAAGAGTTGTCATTTGATTAACGGGATCACACCATTGGGAGAATGATGTGATTGACTCGACCCATTCCGTTAGCTTAGCACTTGATCGTTTAGTATGTTGCTATTGCTTTCTTCATGACTTATACAAAGTTCCTACAACTATGAGATTGTGCAACTCGCGTTCACCGGAGGAACACTTTGTGTGCTACCAAACGTCACAACGTAACTGGGTGATTATAAAGGTGCTCTACAGGTGTCTCCAAAGGTACATGTTGAGTTGGCATAATTCGAGATTAGGTTTTGTCACTCTGATTGTCGGAGAGGTATCTCTGGGCCCTCTCGGTAATACTCATCACTTAAGCCTTGCAAGCATTATAACTAATGAGTTAGTTACGAAATGATGTATTACGGAACGAGTAAAGAGACTTGCCAGTAACGAGATTGAACTAGGTATTGGATACCGACGATCGAATCTCGGGCAAGTAACATACCGATGACAAAGGGAACAACGTATGTTGTTATGCGGTTTGACCGATAAAGATCTTCGTAGAATATGTAGGAACCAATATGAACATCCAGGTTCCACTATTGGTTATTGATCGGAAACAGTTCTAGATCATGTCTACATAGTTCTCGAACCCGTAGGGTCCGCACGCTTAACGTTACGATGACAGTTTTTGTTGGGGAACGTAGTAATTTCAAAAAAATTCCTACGCACACGCAAGATCATGGTGATGCATAGCAACGAGAGGGGAGAGTGCTGTCTATGTACCCTTGTAGACCGAAGCGGAAGCGTTGACACAACGTAGAGGAAGTAGTCGTACGTCCTCCCGATCCAACCGATCCAAGCACCGTTACTCCGGCACCTCCGAGTTCTTGACACGCGTACAACTCGATGACGCACCCTCGATCTCCAATCCAGTAGAGGTTCCGAGGGGGAGTTCCGTCAGCACGACGGCGTGGTGACGATCTTGATGTTCTCCTATCGCAGGGCTTCGCCTAAGCACCGCTACAATATGACCGAGGTGTAATATCGTGGAGGAGGGCACCGCACACGGCTAAGGAACGATCTCAATGATCAACTTGTGTGTCCTAGGGTGCCCCCCTACCCCCGTATATAAAGGAGGGAGGGAGGAGGTGGCCGACCCAAGGGGGGCGCGCCATAGGGGAGGGGGAAACCTACTCCAAGTAGGTTTCCCTCTCTTTTCCTTATCTTATTTGGAGGGGGAAGGAAAGAGTACTAGTATTAGGAA